CGCCTGGCTAGTTTTTGATTTATTGTAGAGATGAGGTCTCGCCAAGTTGCCCAGGCAGGTTTCGAACCTGCGGGCTCAGGCAATCTACTCGCCTGGGCCTCCCAAAGTGCTGGGATGACAGGCTGAGCCACCGAGCCCGGCCAATATACAATTTTTAATAAATAAATTTGGGGTGTCTTTTTGTCCCCACAATGGACTTGCTTCCAGCATCACCCTTGCCCCGATTCCCCGATGCCCATCCACACATCCAACAACTGCATATACACACAAGCATCTCTTGTAACTTAAGACAGTCAGTTTTGAGGAAACAAATGAAGAGCTAATTCCTTTCTGGAATTATGCTTTTTAAATTAACATTAAAAAAAAAAAATCAGGGTCTTGCTGGGCTCGGTGGCTCAGCCCATAATCCCGCGCCTTGGGAGGCTGAGGTGAGTGGATTGCCTGAGTCCATGGGTTCGAGACTCACCTGGGCAACTTGGCGAGACCTCATCTCTACAATAAATCAAAAAATTAGCCAGGCATGGTAGAGTGCACCTGTAATTCTGGCTACTTGGAAGGCTGAGGTGGAAGGATCGCCGGAACCCAGCAGGTCGAGGCTGTGGTGGCCGGGAGCGGCCACTGCACTCCAGTCTGGGTGACAAAGTGAGACTTCAACTCAACAACAACAACAACAAAAAACTAAAAAACTAAAAAAAATCAAGGTCTCATTCTGTCGTCCAGGCTGGAGTGCAGTGTCACAATCACAGCTCACCACAGCTTTGACCTCGTGGGCTCAGGTGATCCCCCCAACTCAGCCTCCCGAGTAGCCATGACTACAGGTGTGTGACATCATGCCTGGGTAATTTTTAATTTTTTTGTAGAGAGGAGGTCTCACTATGTTGTCCAGGCTGCAAATTTTTTTCTAAAGCTCTACAAAGAATTCCAATTCACACTTAAGATGGAAACCCACTCTGTGTAAGTTATGAAGTGGAGAGAAAAGAAAAGATTGAAACCAGTGACATAGATTTTATTTCTGTTCCATGGAAAACTGATGTTCCGAGAGGTCTGGTATCTTGCCCAGAGTAGCACATTTAGTAAAAGTACAGCTGGGGGTAACTCCAGGTCTGCTCCCCAAGTTAATACTCATAGTCACATCCTGGGGTGGAAATGCCACACAAAGTAGCCCTAGTAATTCCTCCTTCTCTCCCTATGGCAGTGGAAGGCGCACTACTAGTAAATCCCAAATGTCAGGCATGAGTTGGGATGGTTTGGGGCTAACCACGCCATCTTGTCCACCCCACTTCTCTTCGATTTCTTACAAATTCTTATTTTTGGCTAGGAGCCTATAATCCCAGCACTTTGGAAGGCTGAGGAAGGGGAGAGCAGGTCGCTTGAGCCCAGAGTTCAAGACCAGCCTGGGCAACATAGTGACACCTTGTCTCTACAAAAAAATGAAAAAAATTAGCTGGGCGTGGTGACATATGCCTGTAGTCCTAGCTACTCGGGAGGCTGAGGCAGAAGGATTGTCTGAGTCCAGGAGGTCCAGGCTGCGGTCAGCCATGATTATGCCGTTGCACTCCAGCCTGGGCGTCAAGAGTGAGACCCTGACTTAAAAAAAAGGGGAAAAAAAAACAAAACCCCAATGAAGTTCTTTTTCTTCCAAAAATACCCAACTGATTGCTCAAGAGTATTATCAGGCATCATTAATCCTGCTGTTCTCTTTCTTTCTTAGAAAGCATTTTATCCAAATTCAAATAAATTTTCCAGACAACTTGCAGCCAGTGGAATGTTCCGGAACAATACATTCAATGTCTGCATGGACAAAAGCATCGTGACTGGCCCAGGCAACCACATCACCCCCTGTGACCGGCTCAACTTCCACCCCAGTTACAACGTCAACAAGCCGTCCATCTGCAATTGATGGGGCTGGAAAACCCCCTCCAGAAGTCTTCTGACTCCTGCGGCCCAGGCTTTGGGAGAATCACCATCCCTGATGCTTCACAGTTGCTTAGTTGTAAAGGTATAGATTTCACTGCTTCCCCTGAAAGTATTTTCCCTCTGTGGAATAGAAAAATATTAATCAGGTCTGTGAATCTAATGTGCACATGGAATATGCTCATGGAAAAGATACTGATGGTTGACTTTCCATTAAAAACGTGTCATGTTCCAAATTCTTGTCTCATCTGAGTTGGGTTTTTTTTTTTTATTTTTTTGAGTTGAAGTCTCACTCTGTCGCCCAGACTAGAGTGCGGTGGCTGCTCCTGGTCACCACAGCCTCGACCTGCTGGGCTCCGGCAATCCTTCCACCTCAGCCTTCCAAGTAGCTGGAACTACAGGCGCACACTACCACACCTGGCTGACTTTTTTATTTATTGTAGAGATGAGGTCTCGCCAAGTGGCCCAGGTGGGTCTTGAACCCTCAGGCTCAGGCAATCCACTCACCTCAGCCTCCCAAGGTGCTGGATTACAGGCTGAGCCACCGAGCCCGGTTTTTTGTTTTTTTTTTTGAGTCAGAGTCTCACTCTGTCACCCAGGCTGGACTGTAGTGGCATGATCATGGTCACCACAGCCTCAACCTCCTGGGTTCAGGCAAACTTCCATCTCAGCCTCCTGAGTAGCTGGGACTACAGGCATGTGCCACCCAGCTAATTTTTTTTTTTTAAGAGACAAGGTCTCGCCAAGTTGTCCAGGCTGGTCTCAAACCCTGGACTCAGGCAATCTTCTTGCCTCAGCCTCCAAAAGTGCTGGGATACCAGGCATGAGCCACTGTGCCCGGCCTCATCCGAGATTTGTAATGATGGAATAGGGCCATGGGCATCCTGGGGCCCAAATCTTGGCCTCAACTTCAGGACTGTTGGTGAATAGCTCTGCCTGTGTCTGTACTGGGGACCGGTCATGAAGCAGATCTCCTTTGCTGAAGCCCTGGCTGAGATCGGCACAGATGCTGCAAGACCCCTGAGGGGTATGGGGTGCTCCACAGCAAAGCCTGAGGCTGACATGGGCAGGAGGGGGCACTACTCTCCCACCTATCTGAGGTACAAACAGAGCATTGCAGGTGAGCTTCCTCTAGCCATGTGAGGGGTGGGGGATAGATGGTGTGGACGTGGGGGCTCTCTGTTTATTTTTATATCTCAACTAAAAGTCGCCGGGCTTGGTGACTCAGCCTGTAATCCCACACTTTGGGAGGCCGAGGTGAGTGGATTGCCTGAGCCCGCAGGTTTGTGACCTGCCTGGGCAACTTGGTGAGACCTCATCTCTACAATAAACCAAAAATTAGCCGGGCGTGGTGGTGCGCGCCTATAGTTCCAGCAACTTGGAAGGCTGAGGCGGAAGGATCGCCGGAGCCCAGCAGGTTGAGGCTGCAGTGGCCAGGAGCGGCCACTGCACTCTTGTCTGGGTGACAGAGTGAGACTCCAACTTCAAAAAAAAAAAAAAAAAGTCAAAAAATGCCGGGCATGATGACTTATGTCTGTAATCCCAGCACTCTGGGAGGCAGAGGCGAGAGGATTGCCTGAGCCTGGGGGTTCGAGACCAGAGTGGGCGACTTGGTGAGACTTTGCCTCTACAGTACATCAAAAATTAGTCAGGTGTGGTGGTGCACACTTGTAGTTCTGGCTACTTGGAAGGCTGAGGATGAAGGATCGCCTGAGCCCAGCAGGTCGAGGCTGGGGTGACCCTGAGTGTGCCATTGTACTGCAGCCTGAGTGACAGAGTAGGACTCGAACTAAAAAAAAGAAAAAAAAAAGTCAACAAAATGGCTCCTGCCTGTAATCTCTGCACTTTGAGAGGCCGAGGCGGGAGGATCGCTTGAGTCCAGGAATTCGAGACCAGCCTGGGCAACATAGCAAGATCTCATCTCTATAAATAAAAATCAGCAAAGCTCTGTGATACATACCTGCTGTCCCAGCTACTTGGGAGGCTGAGACTTGAGGATCGGAGCCCAGGAGGTTGAGGCTGCAGTGAGCTATGATGGCCCTTTTAAAGATACCCTTTAAAAAAAAAAAGCAAGCAAGCCGGGCTCAGTGGCTCAGCCTGTAATCCCACGCTTTGGGAGGCTGAGGTGAGTGG